AATTGAGAAATCATTTTTGGTTATTTTAAAACCAGCATTAAGCTTTTTGTATAATGATTTGTAAAGTTTCTGTTAAATGTAAAGGTAGTGTATATACACACTACCTTAAATAAGAAAAAGTAAAGGTTTTTTTATTATTGCATTTCCACTGTTTTTGAATTGGAAGGTATGCATGCATACACAGCCATATATATGGTTCCATGTGTCTTCATATCACCTCCTTACCCCCTTACTGGGGATCTAACTTAGGACCTCATGCATGCTAGGTACCATTGAGTTCTACACACCCAGCCCTTTTTTATTCAATTAATATTATATGTAGGATATAGCTTATTTAAAAAGACAAATGAAACTTTACTATATTTACTGATGGCATACTCTCTCATTTAGCATATCTTAAGCCTTACCTACTTTTAATCATGTATTTTTTATCTGTTAGATTATATGTTCAGTTTATTTTCTTCTTTTTTTTTGGTACCGGGGATAGAACTCAGGACCTTATACTTATGAGGCAGGCACAGTGTCACTGAGCTAAATCCCCGGCCCAGTTTTCCTCTTTTTTTAATCAAAATTTTAACCATGGTGGATATTTGTATTGTTTCCATTACTTGTTTTAGACAGTATTTTAAAAAGGAAATGTTCTGTTGTAAATGCTTTCTTGATGTGCTTATTTCTTCAAACTCAGGCCAACAATGGATATTTAATAGTTTCTGCTGAGGCAGGTGAAAAATGTTCTCACTTGGCCTTAATTTGTATTTAACTATAAATGAAGTGATTAATTAGTTCATCTTAGAATTTTTCCTGTGAATTATCCATATGTTCTTGGCCCATTTTTCTGTATTACCTTTTCTTACTCAGTTGTAAGGCATTTTTTTAAATGCGTTTGTTTAAATAAAAAAAGTGGCTGGGGTTGTAGCTCAGTAGAGTGTTTGCATAGCATGCACAGGACCCAGTTGTATTTGGTCAGTGATTTTTATTTGGATAAGTAATTATATGTCTTTAAATAAACTTTAATTATATCTTGATTAACCATAACTAAAAATATTTTAAAACTTTTTTTTAAAATCTGTTTTCTAGGTTGCTATGCATAATGAGAGTTATGATACTCTTCATGGTAAGACTTCCTTTCTTTAATCTGCTCATCATTTGAAATATGTTTTAAAAGCTTTTATTTTTTAAAGCACTCCAAGTGATTTAATTTCTTTACCAACATAGTAATACTTGGAAAGCGATACGTAACTATGAATTGTTTGTAACTGAAATTCCACTTTGATTAAATATCACAGATAATCCATTTACTGGTTATTACTTTAATATAATTCAGGAGATGTTCTTATTTTTCTGTGCCCTTTGCATTTAATTTCTTTTTGGTTTGTTAGCCTGTTTTCCAAAAGACAGGAAGGAAGAACAAAAAGAATCCAAACCTTGGTTATTCCTAATACTATTTGCTTTTATTTTAAAAAATATTTAACATAGATTCAAAAGATTAAGGATATTTGGGTTTTCAAGTCCAGGAATCATGATCTGTATTTCTGTAATTTTAGACAGTAGCTTAATTATGTACTTGTTCCTCTTTCTTTCTTTCTTTCTTTCTTTCTTTTTTTTTTTTTTGTAGGAAGTTTAACAAACT